ATCTACAGAGAAGTACCTGATCATCCCAGCAGAAAACGTTCCATCCTACCCATGTGTGTGCCCATATGCTCTGCCCTCCCTCCTGCTATGCAGGATGAAGCTCTCCACGTCCTACGGCCGAGCTCTTTATCTGTGCACTGAATCTCACCACCTCCCTCTCTCTAAGGGACTTTGTCCCAATTCCCCAGAGATCCCCCCTTTTTTTCCTGCAAAAGCTTACTCCTTCAGGGTTCTCCCTAGCCCCCTGTTTTAAGAATATACCAGTGTTGCTAAGAATGGCCTTGCAGCTTTCACTTGATGTGTCTACTCCTTACCCTGAGTGCCCAATTCATTAGCAAGTCCTCTTGAGTTCTACCTGCATGATATATCTTAGCACCAATATTATATGATTATATGAGGCACCTAGAATAGGCAAATTCGTAAAGATATCAAGTAGAATAGTGGTTATCCGGGGCTGAAGGTGGAGAGGAACAGGGAGTTAAGAGTTTAATGGGGACAGAATTTCAGTGTGGGATGATGAAAACGTTCTGGGGATGGACGGTGGTGATGGTCGCACAACAATGTATATGGACTTAATACCACTGAACTGTATACTTAAAAATGGTTCAAACGGTAACTTTTATGTTATGTATATTTTATATTTAAAAAAATGCCCAGTTAAGAAAATATCTATGCATATATTTGAATCCGACCACGTTTTACTTCCCCTATTGCTGCCATTCTATTTCAAACCGCTCACTCCCACCTTCATGATTGCAACGGCCTCCCAACACATCTCCCTGCTCGAAAGCTTGCCCCCCACCTCAGTCTTGTCTCTGCACACAGCAGGAGAGTGATGTTTTAAATCGGAAAGGAGATCCTATAATTTGCCAGATCACAATTCTATTAGAATAAAACCCAGCCCTCTACAAATGTCTTGCTCTTTCTTGAACACCAGGGGCTTTTGTCCCTACTTTCAATCCCTTCCAGAATGTTCTCCCCACAGTGGGCTCCCTGACTTCATTCAGGTCTCTGCTCCCGTGTCACCTCCTCAAAGAGGCTCTTCCTGACCAGCTGCTCTACACCAGCCTCTCGACGCGCAGGTGCGCATGCGTGCAAGCCGCGCATGCAGGTCCAGTCCTATACCTTTCTCTGCTCTCTTTTTCTTAACAGTTCTTTTCACTACCAGACATCATATATTTATTTGTTTCCTTATTTACCTATTACTCTACCCCTCTTGAGTTAAGCTCAATGATTTGTCGACAGCTGCTTTCGCAGAACTCAGCCATGACTGGTCTATAACAGGAGTTCAAGAAATACCTGCATCCTAAAAGGCATGCTTGGAGCTGCTGGAGGCTGTGCACGTTAAATGTGAAGTTTAGTAAGTGGCACATGGAAGAGTGTTCCAAAGCAGGTCACTGCTCATGCCCAAGAGCGTTCTCCTTTAAAAACCAAGTCTTTCAGGGACCAGGGACAATCCTTGAGAAGGGTCTGGTGACAGCAGGAATGAGTGGGGGGCGGGGGAGAGACGAGATAATGGAGGCCAGGGTGCAGAGACAAATCGAAGGCACCGGTGCTTGTGATTCATTATCATTCATAATTGGCATGTTGATGAGAAAGGGTTGAAAGGTCTTCCGAACAGGATTCACTTAATATTTAAGGAAAATATCCTTCAGAAGATTATGCCATTTAAGTAAGAAACAGACTTGTTGAAAGGCTACCGTGGTAGGCAGGGCACCCCTAAGTGGTGAGGAGGAATGGCACTTTAGGAAAACGCTGAGCACAGTCCCAGCATGCCAGTGTCGTCCGAGGTGGAATGGGTGATGAGCACTGTTAATTGTGGTGTGGTGTCTCATTTTTGAGAGACCACGCTGGGGCCCAAAATTGAGTTCCACCTTTGTGTTTTAGATTTCTTTAACTTTTGAAGAGGGGAACTAAAAAAGTAAGTGAGGTTTTAACAATCAGTTTTATTTTTAATAGGAAGAACTACATTACTGCTAATTGTGATATGATGAAAAGAAATAGTGTCCACCCTAGACAGTAGAGTTGCTGTTCCAAGGTATTGATTGGGGATTGATTGCATTAAAAGTTTGTATTCTTACTTCTGCTGTTTCTTGTTATAACCGGGTCAACTATACCCCTTGTTAGTCCTGTTCTGGAGGCTTCTGTGTTCTCAGTGGGCACTTTGCTGTTAACTGAATTGAGGCCTCAAGGTCCTGCTCTACTTTGGGGAACTCCTTGGGACCCTCCTTAGGGTCTGAACACCTTGTTGCCCCTTCCCTGCTTTTTGGGGTGAATGCAGGAAAAAGACAAGGAGACCTAATGACTCACGAGTCACTCAGTTAGAGGATAATCTTGGTTTGCCTGGGACTGAGGGGACCCAGGGACATGGGACTTTCAGCGATAAATCAGAGACAGTCTCAGGCACCTTGGACAAGTTGATCACCGTCTCAGATTAAGCTTAGGGACAGAACTGGTGTAAAAGCTAACTCATGGCATCTTTCACTACAGCTTGTGAGCAAACTGCTGACCCTGAGCCTTTTTACTTCCTGTGACCTCAGAGATCTCCTCTGGGTGTCTTTAACCTTTTCTTCCCATTTAATTATTTTTACTGAATGGGAGCCTGTGGGTTTCTGCAAATCCTCAAATAAGTATCTCAAAGCATGGAGGAAAATTATGTTTATAAATTATAACAATTCCAATGACCATGTGGTTCCCCTGCCCCCACCTCGTTCCAACTACTGTCATTTAACCCACTGGGGCTCATCCCTTACCCCAGACCTAATCCTGTTTGTGGACTTGGAGCAGTTCAAGAGTCTCTACCCTGCCTCTCTGACCTTGTGCCTCAGCTCTGTACACGGTGCATGCTTCTCCCCTACATCTTTTACCCTAGACCCTTGACTGGGTCCCCACTTGTCAATGTTTCTGTGTGCTGCTACCTGCCTTGGTAATCTAGCAAGGGTCCACTGTCTCTATGAATGGCATGAGGCCTGTGCAGGGGGTCCCAGCTCCTCCAGCATCCCTGACATCCTGACCAGCCTTGGCCCGCTCTTCGACTCCATGCTTCTGGGCTCTGTGCCTCACTGAGGCCAGGTCACTATATGGGAGCCTCTCCCTCTCCTTCCCCCCACTGCAGGGCTGTCCACACATATAGCACCTCTGGGAGCTTTACAAGAAAGGTGTCCCTCCGGGCAGATAAATTACAAAAAGATGTTCCCTCTAGGATGACCAGTTAGAAAAAAAGCATCCTGTCCTTGGTCAGCCTGTAAGGCACGAAGCTTGGCAGACAGAGCCTTGGCAGGGTTTTAACCCCCCTGGCCCCCCTGAGCTCGGTGTATAACTTACACCACCACATACCTAGCTCTTCTCCTCACTACTGACTAACCGGCCCGGCTGCCACCCCGGCGCCTAGCCCAGTGACAGGCTTTGCTGGTCTGGACAGGTTTCGCCTCATCAGCACCCTGAATCTGACCCTGAATTTGCTCTTTGTCTGTCCTGCTCCCATCCTGCATCTTTCAGGTCACTCCCACTGAGGTTCTCATTCTTAACCTGAGGGTGTATAAAAAGTCAAAATCTAATAGATATCACTCATAACATAACATTTGCCCTTTCTATCCACTACTGTAATACAATTCAATTTTCGTATTACAAAACCTACTACCTATTGGTTATAGTGCTTTGTTACATTTGATCTCCGCCGATTTCTGGATAGATTTTCTAGTCTTTTCTATTTTTTTCTTTCCAAAAGATGTCTAGCTTGGGATAATCCTGTTTTCTCTTTCCAAAGACAGTTGGGGATTCTAGGAGAGAAGACAGTTTCCTAATACAACTTGGACTTCAGGCCTAGGTCAAAATGTACTATTCGAGACACCTCTGTGAAAAAGATAAAATAGTAGTAGCTCCCAGAAGTTGAGACCACAACAAGTATAAGAAAGAGAAGGTGTGGTCTGATAGGGCGAACATTCCAGTTCTGGGAGGAAGGTGGCTCTGGCAAGGAAAACCCACCCCAGACAGTTACAGAGAAATGAATAGAGAGCAACCATTTGGACAAGCTGAATCACAGCACACTGAGCTTTTGGAAACTTATCTAGCCAAAGAGAATCTTTTGTTATTTAGAATTGCAGGCTTTGAAAGTTGGATCAATTAGATCCAAGTTGTCCTGATGAGACATACAATTACCCCTAAAGTTTGAGCCTGCCACGAATCCTCCTCAAGGGTTACTTTGTGGAAACAAATTAAAATCACTGTGAGGAGAGATGGTAGATGACTTTCATACCTCTGTTACATTTAAATGCAAGCCACTTATTGATTTGGGGAGCACTGCTGTTTTCACAGTGTTACCTTTTCATAGTTAATTGTGGGCACAATAAATACAGCATAGAACACATGAATACTTAAGAGGTAACTTCAGTATAACCGCCACAGATATGTATTATGTAGTGCGCATAAACAGGCACATATATCTAAATATATATATATTTAAAGACACTGAATAAATACACACATAGAATTAAGATATAGAATTAAAGTTTATGAAGATGTTTACACAGAGTACTTTTGTTTAGAGAATGCCAGTTGCCTTGAAATTCCCAACCATAGGCAGATCTATACTAAAATCAAAACATATGTATGTATAAAATTTCTGGCCAACAAAAATAGCTTAACAAATAGAAACAATTTCTCTAGGGTGCCTTTCCTCCTTAGAGTACTGTGTAAAGGATGTAGGAAAAGTCTGGAAAGAAAAGCATATCTGCTTGCCTACACCCCAGATGGGGTTGAGTTTCTTGCATATGACAAATGAGCGCTAGTCCGCTAATCACGTAATCCCTTGTCTTACGTGTCCAGTCATCCTCCCCCAGACGACTTCCCTCAGGTTCTAACCACTGTCCCAGCAGACTCATAATGATCCCTGTTTGAAACTTGCTCAAGTTCTTATAACATTGCCACACGGTATACTTGTAGTTACTCACTTTCCACAGGCTTCCTACGAGGCCAGGCAGGGGGAACAGCAGCCTACTTACTTGTGTTTATCTTCTGGAGAGAAATATGCTTTTCCAGTTGTCTCCGCAGCTTCACTTCAGCTCCATATTTCCCGGTGGTCCCGTTGTCGGCCAAAATGAAGTGGGAATGCATGCTGTTGAGAACAGTGAGCTTGCTCATGGGATTGGACATGGTCTGATATGGCCGGACGACCTGCAGGATTTCAAAAGGAAGAGGCGGCCGTCAGAGGAAAAAGAGCAAAATATGAAAAGGAGAACCAGCCAGAGAGGAAACAGAGAGAAGGATAAACCAATTCTTCGGTACAGTGAAAACAGAGTTTACATCCTCCTAATACCACTGTGGGTAGCAGGTTTTATGGTCAATGTTCCCCAGTCACAGCAAGATTATACTTGAAGAGTAATGTGTTCATTTATATGCTGAGTTGATACAGAAGCTAGAGTTTGTGCTCTCATCATACTCAAAAACTGACATGTGAAGGACTGTGTCATTGTGAGGTCGATCTTTCATTTGCTGATGAACCACAAGTAATTTTAACGTTTATTCATTTTGTTTTTTCTTTCTCTTCTCCACGATGTCCATACTCCAATGGGCACAGCAGAGCAATCAAGGAATTCTGGAGTAGGGTTGGGGAGGGGGTGGGGGCCAGGGTGATCTTTTCAGTCAAGCCCATTCAGTCATCTGAAGGTCTGTTAATTCAAAAATCAACACTGTTCTTATTAGACACCTTATTTAAGTGGAAATGTTGAATGTCAAACATGTGTCTCGTGAGATGAGCGTGAATCAAAATGTTCATCTCTGTCTTTGTTTGTTTTTGCATTATTTTAATTTCGTGGTGAATTATACTACCCCAAACAGAGTAAGTCTTTCAGATTTTTGATATCAAAAGAAAAGCAAAACCTATCGTGAGTTTGAGTTGCTAGTTCTAGTTGCTTTATAAACATTATATGTATTCCTTGCAACAATCCTCGCAAGGTGGGTGCTCTCATGCTTATCTCGTAGATGGAGAAACGGAACTGGAGGTAAAATAGGTTTTTCAAGAGTTTCTTACACACAAAACCAGAATTAACACCCAGGTCTGATTCCAAAATCTTTGCTTGTCCCCCTCCCCACACTGCTTAGACACGATGGAAACAAGATGTTTTGGAAATCTACTCCTAAAATATTTAGGTAGAGACTTCACTCAAGACTATGAAAAGGAACATTCAACAAGCTCATTGATACAAGGTCCAGTACAGTTATCCCTGTACTGAATCATCAGCATTGACAGGACAGAAATAAATGCTACTGGGTCTTTATTTCTGTGCCTTTGTGCGGTATGTACACTCATTATGGAGTTGAGATGCTCTCGTTCATGTTCAGTATGTAATAACTCACCATGAAAAGCTGTAGTAAGATTGAGTAGTTTGTTAAAGAAATCACAAAGTGATTTAGTAAGGGCAGTCTTTAATAGTACAGATCTCATAAAAGTCATTTTTTAGATCTTGATTCCAATTTCAAAATCCATTTCTATGTGCCTGGCATACAGAATCTACTCAATACATAGTGAATGAGTGAACAGGAAAACTTGAGACAGGCATGCTTTTGTTCAAAATTGGAAAAAAAAAAAAAAAAGAGCCCTCTCTTTTCTGAATTGTTTGGGAGTTGACCTAATCTAAATTTAAAATATGTAATTTTTAGCTTTTGCAATATCCCTCATTCCTTTTAATGTATGTCTTATTTGTTAATGTAGCATTAATATAACATTAATTCATAGCCTCATCTTAGTTGACTCTTAGTGATAAAGGAAGCTCATAACGTTTTGATTGTTTCCAGTAATGGATGGGATTTTTTCCAGTAATGGAGCAGTATTCAATTACTCCTTTGTCTGGATGAGTGCATGAGAGTCCCCCAAAATACAGAGACAGTGGTTTGCTAACTCCATCCTGAGTTCTTTATCACTGGAAGAGTGGGTCGCTTGTGGTTGAAATTCCCATTTTGTTGTTAATCATTTTTGATCATAAAACATTCATTCTATAGCAGAGTGCAAGTTAATAAATATTAATGCTTTGTTGAAAGAGGCTTAGCAGAAGGACTTTCTCCTATCCTTAAAGTGCCTCTGCATTGTGCTTTTGGACAAAAGAAAATACTTTAGTTACTCTTCTTTATTTTCTGAGCAGGTCCCCAAGGCTCCATGTCAAGGAAGAGGAAGACCCAAATTATTTCTTTAAGAGGCAGGGACAGTGGATTTTCTAGAAGTTAAATGATGCATGATAGTGAATCCCAGACACTTGTTCTAGCTGAGACATGAGAACACATTTTCTAATTCCTGGGAACCTAATTAAAGACCATCAGTGAACTTGAAATTTTCAAATGAATAAGGTAGTGAAAATAATTCTGGGCCAACTGACATACTTACCACAATCTGAGAATAACAGAACATCATTAAATCATCTAACTATATTCTATATGTTTCCTCCACCACAGGATTCTAAGGACAGTGGGGCATCAGTCTTCTGAGTTTTTACCTTTTCTTGTGAAACATGGCACACCAGCTCTTTGGAAATACTGTTCCTTCGAATCAGTCATGGCAAGAGGGTCAAGTTTACAGTATCACTCATGAATTTTAATTTCTTCATCTTACTGCTCCCCATTTCATTTGCTCTTATATGAAGGTAAGTTAAAGGTGGTCATATTTTGGCAGAGATTTTGTCTGCTGCATAATAGGGGATATACATCTGAAAAGTAAGTAAAATGCCCTAATTTATTTTCCTGTCATCACTGGAGGAAGATCTGCTGAATCCTTGAGAATCCTGAACATGTGAGCCATGGAAATCTGTCTGAATCCCATTAGTTCTGTCAGTGGCTGTGTAAATCTGAGGCCCACATTTTTAATCTGTAAAAGGGATATGAGAACACCACTTACCTCATGGCGGTTAGATGAGATTATAGGTGCAAAGTACCTGGCACTTTGCCTGGTTCCTGGCAGGCAATCTATAAATGTGAATTCCTTCTCAAGTTTGGCTTTATTTTACCACCTATAAACTGATTTTACCATTGCAAACTAGTGACCGAAAGGACAAGATGACAGACTTATCATGGACTTTTGTTTTCCACAAGAGATTTGAATCAATCAATTTAAGTAAAGAAAAAAAAATTAGCCATCAGTTGGCAAAACACACAGTGTGTTTTTACTCCATCACCTCCTCTCAGGCCATTTAAGAGGGCGATGCTCCGGAATTATTGGTGGATTAACTGCAAAGTTGGAAAGACCTTCCCAAATTCTTCAGGAGGAATATGTGTTGGTCTGACTTGCCTACAAAATCCACTTAATATTCTTCATAACAAACATACCAGCAGTCTATTCTTGTTTGAGTTATAATTTGCATATCTACAAAAGACTTGCTGATCTTCCTGTTAATGCTTCTCAGATAGGAAGAAGAAACAATGCCTTTGTGTCACATGAATACAAATGAATTCTTCCCTCTGACAAAATTTTAGAGGTAATGTATCCACTTGCATCGTTAAGAGCTCATAAAAAAAGGGCTTTTTTGGGAAACGTGTGTGTGCGTGCACGTGTGCGTGTGTGTGCACGTGAGTGCATAGCCACACAACTGTGACATGTTCAGGACATGTAGCATGTTAGACGGCTCTAGCATGCTTCTCAGCCACTGTTTTTTGAGAGAATCAAGCCCTAATGCCCATACATAATGGATCACCTCTCCTAAGAATATAGGATGGTCCAGGTTATGTACCATCTTTGAGGGAATTAAGAAGAAAGTCGCTCAAATAATTTTCCGTGTTCATATTTCAGATGTGGAGTCTGGGTTGATGAAGGTTGAATAGCATCTGAAAGGCCTACATATCATGTGACCTTTCATGATCGGTAAAAACGGAATTATATGTACCTAGAAGGGAAATTTGCTTAGAAACGGATTTTAGATACCTTGCACTCTTCGGGTATCATGGGCCAGCATGACATTTTGCCCCTTTCTTGTCCCTCAAGGGGAGATGGGAGAATTCTGCACTCTTTAATACATCTATACCACTTTATACTGGCTGATTGGTAAAATTCTGGTTCCAAGGCCTCTGTCTATCTTGACTCTGAAACAAAGAGGCAATGAAGTAGAAGCTGCTTAAGAAATTAATGAAGGTGGGGGCACCTGGGTGGCTCTGTCGGGTAAGAGCTGACTCTTGGTTTCAGCTCAGGTCGTGATCTCAGGGTTGTGGGATAGAGCCCCAAGTCGGGCTCTGCAATCAGTGGGGAGTCTGCTTCTCTCCCTCTCCCTCTGCCCCGCCCCCCACACTTTGCCTCTCTCTTTCTCTCTAAAATAAATAAATAAAAATCTTAAAAAAAAAGAGAGAGATTAATGAAGGTGAAGGCCCTTGATGTAATGTACTTGTAGGGTCATTACTGTTGCCAGGAGGGGACTGATCTAGAGACACCATGGAAAATCTGACCATTCTTTATGTGCTGGTGTTGGTGTGCTGCATTTTTTACCCATGGATGGACTTAAGTGGATCATTTGGGAGCTGATCTAAGATACCTGCTTGAGTTTTCCTAGCTATTTTCATGCATGTTCTGGTCTCACTCAGGAGTACTTAGTGGGCAGTCAGGAGATTGCGGGGGGGGTGGTTCTAGTTCCTCCAGCTACTAATTTGTGACCGTGGGCAAGTTTTTCAACTCATTCCTTCCTTCCTCTATTCATGCATAAGAAGTCAATCAGAGAAAGACATGTATCATATGACCTCACTGATATGAGGAATTCTTAATCTCAGGAAACAAACTGAGGGTCGCTGGAGTGGTGGGGGGTGGGAGGGATGCGGTGGCTGGGTGATAGACATCGGGGAGGGTATGTGCTATGGTGAGCGCTGTGAATTGTGCAAGACTGTTGAATCACAGATCTGTACCTCTGAAACAAATAATACATTATATGTTAAAAAAAAAAAAAGAAAGCAGGAGGGGAAGAATGAAGGGGGGGAAATCGGAGGGGGAGATGAACCATGAGAGACGATGGACTCCGAAAAAAAACTGAGGGTTCTAGAGGGGAGGGGGGTGGGGGGATGGGTTAGCCTGGTGATGGGTATTAAAGAGGGCACGCTCTGCATGGAGCACTGGGTGTTATACACAAACAATGGATCATGGAACACTACATCAAAAACTAATGATGTAATGTATGGTGACTAACATAACATAATAAAAAAAAAGAATGTCT